TTTCTTCCCTGCCTCTTTCCTCTGACATCTATATTGTTGTAAATGCAGGAATTTAACTGGATTAATTTAAAAATGTTCATTTTAATAAGTTTTTTTCCTCACTCCCCCTTCTCTCTCATTCATTCATTCTTTTCACTTATCTAACACTAATTAAAAACCTATTAAGTGACAGGACTACTCTAGACACTGGGGATACAAAAAAGTTAGTTGATAGGGACTTTGCTCTCAAGAGTTATATGTTAGGAAAGGATATTTCTAAACGTGTCCCATTTTCTAGGATTATCTAAGAGAAAGGACTCTTCAGACAGACTCAGTTATGCTGTTACAGTTGTCCCCTTTTCCCTCTCCTTTATTCCCCTCTGACCTGAACCCTCCTCCCCCCCATATTTCCCCACTGTAGTTCATGTCCATGGGTCATACATGTAAGTTTTTTTGCTTCTCCATTTTCCGTACTGTTCTTAACCATCCCCCACCTATTTTGTATCTACCATTTGTCTTCTTATTCCCTGTACCTTTTCACCCATTCTCCCCACTCACCTTCCCCACTGATAACCCTCCATGTGATCTCTATTTCTGTGAATATGCTCCTTTTCTAGTTGTTTGCTTAGTTTATTTTTGTTTATGTTTTTCTTTTTGTAGGTTTGGTTGTTGATAGTTGTGAATTTGTCATTTTACTGTTCATAGTTTTTATCTTCTTTTTCTTAGATAAGTCCCTTTAACATTTCATGTAAGGGGCTGGTGATGATGAACTCCTTTAACTTGACCTTATCTGGGAAGCACTTTATCTGCCCTTCCATTCTAAATGGTAGCTTTGCTGGATAGAGTAATCTTGGATATAGGTCCTTGTTTTTCATGACTTCAAATACAGTACTTCTTTCCAGCCCCTGCTTGCCTGCAAGGTTTCTTTTGAGAAATCAGCTGATTGTCTGATGGGAACTCCTTTGTAGGTAACTGCCTCCTGTTCTCTTGCTGCTTTTAAGATTTACTCCCTCTCTTTAATCTTGGATAATGTAATTATAATGTGCCTTGATGTGTTCCTCTTTGGGTCCAGTTTTTTTGGGACTCTCTGAGCTTCCTGGACTTCGTGGAAATCTATTTCCTTTGCCAGATTGGGGAAGTTCTCTTTCATTATTCTTTCAAATAAGTTTCAATTTCTTGCTCTTCCTTTTCTCCTTCTGGCACCCTTATGATTTGGATTTTGGAATATTTAGAGTTGTCCTGGGGTTCCTCAGCCTCTCCTCATTTTTTTGAATTCTAGTTTCTTCATTCTGTTCCAGTTGAATGTTTATTTCTTCCTTCTGGTCCAAACCATTGATTTGAGTCTGGTTTCCTTCCCTTTACTGTTGGTTTTCTGTACATTTTCCTTTATTTCACTTTTTATAGACTTCACTTTTTCCTCTATTTTGAGACCATACTCAACCATTTCTGTGAGCATCCTAATTACCAGTGTTTTGAACTGTGCATCTGAAAAGTTGGCTATCTCGTCATTGCTTAGTTGTATTTTTTCTGGGGCTTCGATCTATTCTTTTCTTTTGGGATATATATATATATATATATATATATATATATATATATTTATTTATTTATTTATTTTTTGTCTTGGCATGCCTGTTACATAGTAAGGGACAGAGCTTTAAGTATTCGCCAGGGCGGGACACCCAGGTTGCTTGGCTCTGCCGTTGTATGTGGGGGAGGGGTCCGAGAGGCAACAATGCCACTTGCTCAGCTCCCCACCGGCTTTCAATCACTTCCTCCACTACCCACAAACACACTGGGCTCTTCCAGTGCTCATTCCAGGGTGGGTGGTTTTGTGTATATTATAGGATCCTGTGGTTCTCTGCAACAAACTTTCCTGTGAGGCTGGGAGTTTCTCCTGCCACCTCAACCCCCCAAAGATATTTTAGTCAGAGGTTTTGAGACTTTATTTCCCATGCTGCAATCCTGGGTGGTGTGGTTTGTCCCGCTCCCCACTTGTACCTCCCAGTTTATCTGCATGGAAATGTGGAACCACCCACTCCATTAGCCACTGCCTTGCCTAGTCTGCCAGCTGCTGCCTTGCCACCAGTCCTCTCCACCCTGGATGCCCATCTCCACCCCTCCTATAGGTCTGGATGAATATTTCTTCTTTAACTCCTCAGTTGTCAGACTTCCATACAGTTTGATATTTTCTGGCAGTTCTGGTTATCTATTGTTTTTAAATTTGTTGTTGTCCTTCTTTTGGTTGTGTGAGGAGGCAAACTGTAAGTACCTATGCCTCCATTGGCCAGAACTCCCAACTTCTACTTCTTAATCCCTTTACATTTTTTCCCATCACACTGACGCCCCTCCCATCTGGCAACTATCAGAACATTCTCTGTATCTGTGATTCTGTCTCTGTTCTGCTTGTTCATTTATTTTGTTTTTAATTCAATTGTTGATACATATGTATGTATTGCCATTTTATTGCTCATATTTTTATTTTCTTAGAGGAGACCCTTTAACATTTCATATAATTCTGGTTTGGTGATGATAATATCCTTTAGTTTTTTCTTGTCTGGGAAGATTTTTTATCTGTCCTTTGACTCTAAATGACAGCTTGCTGGGTAGATTAGTCTTGGCTGTAGATCCTTGCCTTTCAACACCTTGAATATTTCTTGCCAGTCCCTTCAAGACTGCAAAGTTTCTTTTGAGAAATCAGCTGACAATCTTATGGGTGCTCCCTTGAAGATAACTAATGGTGTTTTCTCTTGCTGCTTTTAAGATTCTCCCTTTGGTGTTTTCATTATGATGTGATTTGGTGAGGACCTCTTTGGGTTCATCTTGTTGCAGTCTCTCTGTGAGTCATGGACTTGTATGTCTATTTCCTTCAGCAAGTTAGGGAAGTTTTCTGTCATTTTCTTTTCAAATAGGTTTCTAGTTTCTTGCTCTCTTTCTTCTCCTTTGGGAACTCTCATGATGTAAATGTTGGTATGCTTGAAGTTGTCCCAGAGGCTCCTTTCACTATCCTCATTCTTTTTTTTTTTTTTGGATTTTTTTCTTCATGTTGTTCTAATTGAGTATTTTTTGCCTCCTTACATTCTAAATCACTGATTTGGTTCTCAACTTTATGTACTCTACTCTTGATACCCTATAAATTGTTCTTTCAGTTAGTGTATCCTTCATTTCTGCCTGGTGCTTTTTTTATGGTTTCCATGCCCTGTTTTATGCTGTTGAAGTACTAATTTCACCTACTGTTCCCCTATGTTCATTGAGCATCCTTATGATCAGTGTTTTGAACCTTGCCTCTAGTAGATTAGTTTTCTCCATTTTGTTTAGTTCTTTTTCTGGAGTTTTGATGTGTTCTTTCATTTGGGCCAGGTTTCTGTGCCTCCTGCTTTTGGCTACCTCCCTGTGTAGTTTCACTCCCTGTGTGGAAACCACCCTCCCTGTGTTTGTTTCTATGTATTATGTAGAGCTGCGATAACTCCTTGGCTTGGTAGAATAGCCTAATGTAGTAAATGTCCTATAGGGTCCAGTGGTACAGCCTACCATATTACCGCATAGGGTCCAGTGAGTCAAGGAATACCCACTGTGTACCCTGAGTATACCTTCCTCTTGTAGTTAATACTTAATTGATATTGGCAGATCAATGGGAGGGATTTACCCAGGCCAGTCAGCTGCAAAGATTAGTTATGACCACTGACACCAACCTCTGACCACCTTGGAGAATCAGCTGTGCAGGGATCCACTCCACAGAGCAGGACTTACTTTAGCAGGGAGCTGAGTCTTCCCCTTCTGTGCCCACTGAGTTTGTTCCTTGAGTGTGTTGCTTATGGAGGTGGTTCTGTGGTGGTGCTCCACTGTGGTCTGTAGCTGTCCACTGGCTATGCAGGCTCTGGGGTCTCCTGAGAGGCGCAGGCAAAGGTCAGCCACCACCTGTGTTCTGACTGGGACTACCTGGCATAAGCTACAAAGTGATCTGCAGTTGGCTGCTACTTGTGCTGGGTTTGGAGATGTCCAAGTGAGTCCAAGATGTGAGCCAAGGCAGGCTGCTGTTAATCCTGGGCCTCTGGCCACTTAGCAATAAGCATAGGGCATGCTGAGGCCAGATACTGTTTACTTGAGAGAATTTAGGAAAATCTGAAGCATGAGCCAAACAAAGCCAGGCTTGTATGGAAACAGCTTGGGTGACCCTGAAAGTTGGGTTGGGCAGAGTCTCAGGAATACACCAGGGTAAGTGAAACAGTGTGAACCAGGCTGATGGAATCTCAGATAGGGCACCTGCCTGCCTGCTTTGTGGCTCTGTGGGTAAGAGAAGGGCAGCATGGGAGTTTTCAGAAAAGGAAGAGTGGCCTCTGCCAGCATGTCTGCTGGGAGAAAGCTGCTCCACAGCTCTTGCCATGATGCTGGACACTTCAGTTTCTCCCTGTATGCCTTTGGTGCCTTCTAATATCCTGCTCCTGTGCTGGAGCTCAGAGGGAGTGAATCCAGGTTAGTCCATGCAAGCTCCTTTAAGAGGAACTTGCTAGGCTTTACTTTATGTTACTCGTCAAGAACAAAGACATGAGAAGACACACTTATTTTATTTCTCTCTAAGTTATCAAGGAGCTGTAAATCTTCCCAGGAATATTTTGGGAAGGGAAAAAAGAAGAAATTGGGTCTCACAGTACCAAGATGGGGCTCTCCCAGAATGCAGTGGAATATTTGCTAGTGGTCAGATAGGTTGGATTACACTTTGTACATACACCAAAGTAAAAGAGTGAGGGAGAGGCAGACAGAGGAAAGGCAGAAAGGACAAGAAATGAGCAATTGTTGTAGAAATGGCTAGTGAGGCTGTAATGAATTTCCTGTGTGGTGACTGGGCCCCTGGTAGATGGATGTCATCTGGTCTATGGAAGCTTCCCCATCTCACTTGACTGGGGTCAGAAGAACTAAGGCTTCTGTTTTGGAAAGTGTGAGTGCTGAGATAGCTGTATGGTGATAGCTCTTCTCACCTCTTCTTTCCTGTTACATTTTCTCCTGGTGAGACAGTGGAGGCTGGGTTAGAAGGTCAGCCTGGACTTCCTGGTCAGCACCCTTTTCAGAGCTGCCTTCACCTCTTGATTCTTCAGACTGTAGATGAGGGGGTTTAACAGAGGTGTCACCACACTGTACTGCAGGGAGAGCACTTGCTCCAGGACTGAGCCAGATGGTGGAGTCATATACCTGGAAGGCAATTGCACAAAAGGATAAGCTGAGCTCAATACTGTTGGTAGCTGCTGCCCATCCTATCCTAGAGAATCTTCAGAGACGGTCCTCAGGGCTGAGCTGACTATCACTGGTAGCAGCATGTATAAATGACTGTATGGTCAGTGAGAAGTCAGGCATTTCTGTCTTGGAATGCCTCCAAACCTGAATGATATTATGCAGAACATTACAGGAGCTGCCCTGGGGGAAAGTTAGTTCTGTGGCATATTAAGTGCTACAGATTCGAGCAGAACTAATAATAATTCCATGCATTTCCCTAATACTTCATACTCTTCAAAACATCTTTCTGTAGTAGCTATGAATAATATAAGGAATTTTTATCTTCTTTTCCTTATGTATACAACTACGTTTTCTCAACCTGCGATCATTGTTCCTTGCAAAACTGCATGCTTACTCCAATAAAACAGGCATTGTTCCCAACATTCCCAACTCTGGGACCTACACTCAGAATCATAGCACATTACTTTTATAATGCTTAGTGGAACAAACATTTATTTTTCGGTGCATATTTCTCAGGCTTAGAAAAGAAGCCATGCATGGTAAATAATGTGAAGTATAAAAATGTGTTAAGCACAATCTATGAGTCCAAAATAATAAGATTGTGGGAAAATGCAGACAACTGTACTTGAACAACAATAAAAACAATAAAAAATAATAAGGCAAAAATTTTGGATGCATCATGTTAAATACCACTGACAGTATTTCCCAAAGAAACATTACATTTTTTTTTTTTAACAATGGTACCATCATAATTGAAATGTTCTTTGTGGGTTCTGGTGTGCTTGGTTGAAAAAGACGTATGTTTTATTGTCCTTTTTCATCACCTAATTTATTTCTCCCAATATTTCTGTGAGGTAGGTAGGAGAAAGCTTAGTGTCCCCAAGGGCATATGAGGAAATTGAGACACAGAGATGAGGACATTTGTTCACAGGCTCAGATGAGCTCTCCTAGACCATTCTTTACCATCCTTTTCCACCCCTGGTTTTGCTCCAAGTCACAAGCATGTGACAAAAATATGGAACAATTTGTGCAACTCCACCTCCATTTTACTTCAGAGAGCACAGACCATAATCATTGTGTCTCCTAGTAAGCAAGGACTCATCAGCTGTAGCTGTTTATGTTTGAGAGAGGCATGGTAGAGAAGAGCATGAGGTTTGAAGTCAATGACACTTGTTTTAAATTATGGCTCCATTACTATCTTGTTCTGGGACCTTCAAGAAATTACCTGTTTTTCCTCAAACTCAGGGTCCTTACCTGAAAGTGGCATTAATATTTCTCTTGTAGCATGATACATGCTAATTACAACTAAGATACATACTAAGATTGACCAGGTAAAGCAGCTGGTGTCTTGCAGGTGCCTAATAGATAGTTATAGCATAAATAGGCTTTGGAGACATAATCTTCCCACAGGAAAGATGGCATCTATTTCAAGGATATGTTTAATTTTTTTTGTCTCGCACTGAATAAAAATCTACTAAACTTTAAGCAAGGTTTCTTGATTTCTTTTATGAGAACTCCCAAATCAAAGGTTAATGAAAGTAGGAACATTTTTACTTCTTGTATAAACTCATTTTTTAGAGTAGCCCACTGAGGTCTGAAAAAGAAAATAGACTTTTTATAATTCACAGTTTGCCTACAGCAGAGCCAATACTAGAACCTAGCCTTCTGAATTTCATCCTAAGTGTTATCCTGCTATTTTGCAACATTGTGTTCTACAGATCAAGGCCACTTAGGGTAAGGAATATCCTATGTTAGTTTTAGGAGGTATAGTATAACATACCTGAACATTCCTGAACCATAAAAAATGATGACCACAAGAACATGAGAAGAGCAAGTGGAGAAGATCTTGCTTCGACCCGAGGTAGAGTTGATGCTCAGAGCTGTCATGATGATGTGGGTGTAGGAACCCAACAATAGGACAAGGGTGCTAAAGCCCAGGACGACTGTGGTTGTCAGGATGGCAACATTGCTAATGTAGGAGTCAGAGCAGGTCAACTGGAGCACTGGAGGAAGCTCACAGACAAAACTGTTGATGAGGTTGGAACCACAGAAGTACTGTTGAGCTAGGAGAAGGGTGTTTACTAGCCCAGTCCCCATTCCCATGGCCCAGGATGCTCCCACCAGGCCAATACACACTTTCCTGTTCATAGACACCATGTACAACAGTGAGTGGCACACAGCCTGGAACCGGTCATAGGCCATGACTGAAAGGAGACAAGCTTCAGTGGCTCCAGAAAATATGACCAAAGAAATCTGGGTGAAACACTCAAGAAGGGCTATAGTCTTCGACTTGGAAAGAAGGTTCTCTAGCAGTTTAGGCACAATGACTGAGGAATAGAAAGCATCCAGAAAGGACAGGTGGCTCAGGAAGAAGTACATGGGGGTGTGGAGATGGGAATCAGCTCTGATTACCAGCAGCATCAGCAGGTTCTCTGTGAGGATCAGGAGGTAGATCACCAGGAAGAGTACAAAGAGTATTGCCTGGATCTGAGGGTTGTTGGATAGTCCTAGGAGAACAAATGCAGTGACTGTGGTTATGTTGCCAATTTCCATGGAGCAGTCAAGTTTTCCTTTAGAGGGACACAAATGGTAAAGAATGCTCAAAAGGGTCCAGTGTCAGAACATGCCTGGTGATGAGGCATTGTGAGTAAAGCTTCATGGCCAACCCAGGACAGATCATGCAGCAAAAGCAATCTTGCCATGTGAGACCTCATCAGCCCTTCCCAGCTTAAGGCAGGAACTTATTGGCCAAGGTGGAGAGGTGGAAGGAAGAGTGCAGATAATCAGACCTAGGAAGGAAAGAGAAGAGAGCAGAGATTATCCAGACAGGAGAAGGAAAGGACAGGGGTTGGTAACAGATGGCAGAGCACTGAGAAGTGCTGTTCTCCAGCTTCTCTGCTCCCAGAAGGAAGTGAGATCAAACCACAGGGGGGCTGACTGGCATGGTGAGTGAGTAGTAGTAAATGTTCAGGCTGACCATCTGGCTGCCAGACCATGATGATTATTTGAATGATTGACAGGGGTATTGTGACACCTGGTGATGGCACAAGACCTTTCTCTGCTGCTGTAAGTTTGTGAGTTAAAACAACAACAACAACAACAACAGCAGCAACAGAACAAATTCATCAAGAGAAAATGGTCTGGGAAAACTATACAATTTCTAAAGTCCATTTCAACTTAGAAATCCTAAAGATTGCGGAATGATCTTCCTTGGCCATTTGTTGTACTAAGTAGAAAAGTTCTCCTCTTCTGTGCCAACCCAAGCAGAGTGGCACACAAGGGTGCTCGCTGGTTTCATGAAGGTGGGCAGGAAGAAGTCCTCAAAGTAGAAGTAAGGGCTGTGCCCACCCAGCCACTGCAGGGCCTTCCCATCCCAGGGTTGCTGTGAATCTGTAATGTCCAGTATTTGCCCTGTAATCTGAAGCCTTGACATGACAGTCCTCAAAGACTGCTTATTCCCTGAGCTGGTACCAGGAGATTCATATAAAACCAAGTCAAACTTGGACCATCTTCTCCACATTGCAGGGAGGGTAAAAGCCAAAAAATAAAAAAATAAAAGATTAAAGAATACCTGGTAAAACGGACAGTTATAGGGTTTAGTGTAGGTCAGAGGAAGGCAGAGTGGTCAGCCCTCCCTTCTGGATGGTAAATGAGGACCTAGTTTCTATTCATGGCCGTATATTCACAGGTTCCCAGAGCGGACAGTTTTTGGCAAAGATCGGTTTTAATAAGAAGGCGATTTCTCTTCACCTGGGCTCCCTAGGCCAACAAGAGATGCTGTCAGTGGAATGGTATCCTGAATGGTATCTGTTCCAGCACTGGAGCAAAAGCCACAGATGTGGCTATGGCTGTGGCTTCCCTGACCTTGTCCTTTCTTTAGGAGACACAGAGATGGAATTGTGAGCAGGGAAATATCCCTGTAGTCTTTCTGTCCAAAGGGAAGCCTTTTTGACTCTGCTGCCCAAGTAACAATGACTGGAGGGACTTGATCCCAGCTAGACCTAGAGAGTGAGAGAGTTCCCTGGAGAAGCCCTTAGGCAGAGGGCCTGCTCTGAATCTGAGTGGGTTCTCCAGGGCCACCTCTTCCCTGCTGTATCAGTCTTATTTCAGTGGGTTGCATCATATAAGAAGAGCCCCAGGGTGGCCAATAATTTCTAAAGGTAAAAGTACAGAGTTCCAAGGTTTCCTAGGCGTGAAGGTTAGAATTCCCTCCCTGTCTCAGAGCCTGCCTCCCACCCCTTTTCTCTTCCTCCCTACCTGTGTTCTTCTCTTCCTTCCCATTTTCTTATGTTTAAATTTATATTTGTGGTTATAAAGATATGATAATGATAAACAACAAAAATAAAAAATATATTGAAGATATTTTTAAAATGAAAAAGTTATTAAAGATATTTCAATGATAAAAGAAAAAATAAAAATATATCATGTCATCCATAATTAATTCTTTCCTTTATTGACATTCAAATAAAATCCAAACAGATTAAAAACTTTAAAACAAAATTTTAATTGTTGTGAGAACTTTTCATTGTAGACGAAGTTTAAACGTATACAGAAGTAGAAAGTGTGTGTAAGTGATATGTGTTTTCTGGATATCACATTGTCATTCAATTATCCATGTAAGTCCCCAAAGAATCTACCTGCAACATCAAGAGGCAGGGAGTCATACCATTAAACACAACTGGAGTACCACTTTGAGCATTCCAAAGGTTTTGCTGTTGATTTGTTCTCTTTCATAGACTACAACTGTGCAGATCCAAGATTTATATATTGCAATATGATTGCCATTGTAGCGATAATCAGTACCTGCAACACGTTACATAATTGGCATTTTGTAGTGGTTATGTCCATGTAAGAAACATAAAAAACAATAGAGAATTTTTTGAGTTTATTGAGCCAAACTGATGACAATTGCCAGGAAGCAAAATGGCAGTGAATTGAGAGAGATGCTCCAGGGAATGGGAGTTTTGCAGCTTATTTTATACATTAGAATGAAGAGAGGTGATGTAAAGAGGTAGGTTCAGGAGGCAGGAGAAAGCAAGGCAGAGTGAATAAGAAGCAAAATGGAGAGCCACACACTTTCACATTGGTGGGGAAAGAATGGTTAATAATTCACATTCACAGCACTAGAGCTGGTTTGTGGGAACAAGATAACAATGAGGGGCTCTGTGGTCTCCTGCTCTGGTGCCTGTGCTGGTGCCCTGAGGGGTCTAGAGAAGAGAATACTCTCTGACAGTCCAGAAGTGTGTTGTTTTAGATGCAAAAAGACAATAGACAGGCTCACTAGAGGCAAAGACTGACCTTTGGTAAGGAAGCTGTAGGCCTGGAATGTGACTACCTGCTGTGACCTGCTTTTAGTTAGAAAGTTTTGTGTTCAGACTATGCAATGTGATTACTTTTGTTCTCTGAGTTGCTAAGGACCACCATGCAGGCCTTCTCTGAGCTTGTCAGGTTTATTTGTGGGCCCCTTTTCAATCCACAGTTAGAATAGTGAAGTTCTAGTCTCTTAGTAAGTTTTATAACTTTAATAGAATTTGTAGTGTGTGTTCAGTGAACTGTGCATTAGAGCTCTTGGACTTATTTACTCCTCGTTGCAAGATTTCACCCTTAAACAACACCTGTCCTGTTTCCCCACACCCCATCTGCTGGTAACCACCAATTACTCTCTGTTTTCATGCATTTGCCTTTTTTAGATTCTACATATAAATAGTGATACCATAAATTACTTGTCTTTTGCTGACTTATCTCACTTAGCATAACATAGTCATTTTTCATCATGTTGTGAGTGGCAGGATGCCCTTCTTTCTCCTGGATAAATAATATTCCATTGCATACCCTATTATTAATTGTGTAGCACATCTGCTTTACCCATTCTTCTGTTGATGGGCAGTTCGGTTATTTCCATATCTTGGTGGTTGTGCATAATGCTGCAATAAACATGGGAGTCCATATATCTTTCCCATACCCTGTATCTATTTCCTTCGGGTATAAACCCAGAAGTGGGATAGTTGGGTCATAGGATACTTTTATTTTTAAGTTTTTGAGGAACCTCCATATTGCTTTCCATAGTGGCTGAACCAATTTATATTCCCACAACATAAGTACTCTACACTTGATAATACCTACCAATAATGGCATCACACACCCTTTTGAAAGACAGTAGAATCTGTTATGTTTCCTATAGTTATCACCAATTCCCTCTTTCTTTGAATACATAAAAAGTTTGAGATTGTAACAAAGGGCAAAGGGTGTTACTTTCACTGGTTTAGTTGGGACTTTGTGTACAGTGGTGAGAACTCATTTAGTTCTCTTTTGATGGAGAAGGAAATATTGCTTTCCTTTTGTAGAATCCAAATGAATGGGATGCCACGAAAAAACCCCCACAAAAACAGGGGGTGCATGCAAGCAAAAACAACAGCTCTCATTTCCCTGTTGGGCTTCTACTTCAGTAGTAGACTTGCTGACTTTTCCTCTGTGCCTGTCTGAGCCAGGGCGAGAAGAACTGGAAGAGCTGACAGGGCAGAGAAGGCAGGTGGGAATTCAGCAACCTGCTAATCCACTGCTTTTCATGAGAAGAATACATGAATTTTCCAGGGGAGAGACATTGTTTATGTTGGTAGAGAGGTGGCTTTAGACTCTCACAGTTGTCACATCCAATGTGGCTGTTGGGGAAGGATTCCTCTGTAGCAAGAGCCTATGCAGTGCTGCTGGTACTGCAGAAGGGGTAGGATAGAGGAGAGTCAACAGGAGCCAAGTGTTCTAGGTCAGGGAACTGTGCAGTGAGAAGGATCAGCAGGATCTTCCAAAGAACTCCCACATCCTTGCATTAGAGCCAATGCTTGTAGAACTGCTAACTAGAAGTCATTATTTTCAGCCATGGGTATTACAGAGAACATAAGCAAACAATGAACAGTGAGAGGAGTTCTGGCTGAGGTGGAGGTGGAGGTAGAAATGCTTTGTTTCCTCACACAACCAAAAGAAACATAACAACCAATTTAAAAACAAAAAAACAACCAGAACTGCCAGAAAATCAAACTGCATGGATTCTGACAACCAAGGGGTTAAAGAAACATTCATCCAGACTGGTAGGAGGGGCAGAGACTGGCAGCCAGGTGCAGAGGATGCCCAGCAATGCAGCCCACCATGGGGGAGTGATGGGGGTTGGAAGTGCAGTGGTTCCTCATTTGTGCACAGATAAGCTGGGAGGAACAACTGGGGAGTGAGACAGACCAGAAAACCCAGGGTTCAGCATGGGAAACTAAACTGAAAACCTGTGGCTGTAAATCCTGTGGCATTTGTGAGGGCAGGAGAAACTCCCAGTCTCACAGTAGAGTCTCTTAGAGAGGCCCACAGGGTCCTAGAACGAACACAAACCTACACACTTGGGAATCAGCACCTGAAAGTGTACAATTTGTGGGAAGCTAGGGAAGTGACAGAAAGTAAGGTGAGATCCGAGCAAGTGTCATTGTTCCCTTTGGACACCTCTCCCATAGACAGTGTCATAATGCAGCAAAGAGGGTTACCCCACCCTCGCCAATACCTAAGCCTCTGCCCCTTACTCTGTAACAGGCATGCCAAGACAAAAAATATGAGTCAAATGAAAGAACACATCAAAAGTCCAGGAAAAATACAACTAAGCAATGAAGAGATAGCCAATCTATCAGATGCACATTTCAAAACACAGGTAATCAAGATGCTCACAGAAGTGGGTGAGTATGGTTGCAAAATAGAGGAAAAGTGAAAGCTATGAAAAGTGAACTAACGGAAAATATACAAGGAACCAACAGTGAAGGGAAGGAAACTGGGACTCATCAAGGGTTTGGAGCAGAAGAAAGAAGTAAACATTCAACTGGGACAGAATGAAGAAATAAGAATTCAAAAAAATGAGGAGAGGCTGAGGAATCTCCAGGACAATCTTAAACTTTCCAACATGTGAATCACGCGGTTCCAGAAGGAGAGAAGAAGAGCAAGAAATGGAAACTTATTTGAAAGAATAATGAAGGAGAACTTCCCCAATCTGGCAAAGAAAATAGACTTGTAGGAAGTTCAGAAGACTCAGAGAGTCCCAAAGAAGTTGGACCCAAGGAAGCACACACCAGGGCACATTATAATTACATTACCCAAGATTAAAGAGAAGGAGAGAATCTTAAAAGCAGCAAGAGAGAAGGAGACAGAAACATACAAAGGAGTTCCCATCAGACTGTCAGCTGATTTCTCTAAAGACACCTTACAGGCAAGCAGGGGCTGGAAAGAAGTATTTAATGTCATGAAAAAGAATGTCCTACATGCAAGAGTACTCTATCCAGCAAATCTATTTAGAATGGAAGGGCAGATTAAGTGCTTCTCAGATAAGGTCAAGTTAAAGGAGTTCATTATCACCAAGCCCATAGTATATGAAATGTTAAAGAGTCTTACCTAAGAAAAAGAGGAAGATCAAAACTGTGAACAGTAAAATGACAACAGACTCACAACTATCAACAACTGAACCTAAAGCAACAAAAACAAAAACAAAAGCAAAAATAAACTAAGCAAACAACTAGAACAGGAACAGAATCACAGAAATAGAGATCACATGCAGGGTTATCAGAGGTGAGGAGTGGGTAGTCATGTTCCCCAGGGGGAGCTGACACCACCTTTGCCCACCAGTCAATATGTAACTCCCTCACCCCATTTCTGCCAACTACATGAGTCCCCAAGACAAAGGACTGATACTGTGGCCACCCTTGCTCTTGCTGCCCTTTCTTTTTGTCACCCAAGCCTATGCTTTTCAGCCTTCCCTCAGCAAGGTTGGTTCTGTTCCGTGAGAACTTACCACAAAAAGAAAAAAAGAAAGAAAAGAGACAGAAAGAGGGAGGGAAGAAGAGGGGAGAACTCTTTAAAATAACTGCTAGGTAACTGATTGAGTGACATGGGGAAACACTGCAAATATTTATAGAGGAATTGTTATATAAACTATGGCTTTTTGTTCTTGAGAAAATGTGACACAGACTACAATATTATTGAAAATTCAGAAGTTTTATGATGAGAAAAATGACAGACAAAATTCTTACAAATTATAGTCCCAGGTATGTATAAGAATGCACCCTAAAGACATTGGGCATAGAAAAATTAGGCAGAGGTATACCTAAATATTAATAGTGGTTTTTACTGTGTAGTACAACCATATTTCTGTATTTTGATAAATTCCAATTAAAAAATTTAAAGAAAAATATTAATATTTTACACAAATCAATAATACTTATGATTTCAACATACTGAAAAGTAAAATAAAAAAATAATTAAAACTGCTTAGCAGAATCCATAAAATATTTTCAGTCTTTTGGTTTGTAATGTGGAAAATAACAAGTAACTGATTACTTGCTTCATAAATCTATCTATTGCAAAAATTGCAAATATGAGAAAATATCTAAAAGCAATTATGTAACTTTAATGAATTAGATACTAAGAGTTAAATATTTGGTAAATACTCCTTTTAAAATACCATTACATGGAAAAGGCATGTTGGCTGAAAACTTTTGAACTTTCCCAAGTAGGAAAGAGACCCAAAGGAGGGCACAATATTGGAAGGAGCTGAAAGAGGTCTATCTTGTATGAAATTCTGATATTAGATAACAATAGATATTTTGTAAATGTTTTGTTAGTAGAGGTGATTATAAGACAAAATTGCTTTAGCCAAATTTCCTTACAAAAAGAAAAGAAAAGGTAAAAAATGAAGACCAAAACCTTAGGTGAATGTGCTGGATCACTGAGAGAGCCAGGGCAGGGCCTGCAGAGGGCAGTGCCCTGGTGGGAACATGAACACCCCAAGTGAGAGGGTACAGAAAAGGAACAGGGGACCTTAGCAGTCTCTTTCTGAAGGCTGCCTGGTAATTTCCAAAGTTTCCAGAGTTTGGAGAACAAATCCACAGGCCTCTTAGAGCCCCAAATTGCACTAGTTTGCCTTTGAGTAGAGGTACAGAAAGTACACATTCCCTTTGCCTGCATTCATGTGCTTTCATTGGGACAGTGAATACCTCAGCTGTAGCTCTGTGGGGTAGGTGCAGACTCAGGTTCTCAATTCCTGTCCTCTCAAGGTGTCTCCTTGCTAATGTTCTTTTCTTGTCCAGGAGTGTCACATTTACCAGCTTTATATTCATCCTTGTATTCCTGACTTTACAATGTTTTGGCTGGAGGCTTGAGCAAGACATTACCCTGAGTCTCTTGCTAATTGTCTTCAGGTTACAGTTAACCATTTGGAGACAGTGGCCTGTTTAAGAAAATACTCATAATAAAGAAAAAGAAGAAGGAGTAGAAGAAGATGAGTAGGAAGGAGAAGGAGGAGGAGGAAAAGGAGGAGGAAAAGAGGAAGAAGAACAGAGGATTGAGGAAGAGGAAGATGAGGATGGGCAGACACCACTGCAGGCATATTCTGATTCTGGCAGGAGCAGCACAGCCCTTCTTCAGCAGTCTGGCATCATCTGCAGTTCCTCTCCTAAATGGTCCTGGCTCTGATGCCCCCAGCAGCCCAGCAGCCCCTGTAGAATCATCAGCTTCAGACTAGGGTTGGTCTAGCTTCATTCTTTTTTGCTTCCCTGGGACCCCCTGATTACAATAACCCGATACTTTTTTTAAAGATTTCTATTTATTCATTTTTAGAGAGAGGGGAAGAGAAGGAGAAAGAGAGGGAGAGAAATATCAGTGTGTGGTTGTCTCTCAAGTGCCCAGTACTGGGGACCTGGCCCACAACCTAGGCATATGCCCTGACTGGGAATCAAACTGGCAACCCTTTGGTTCTCAGCCCCTGCTCAATCCATTGAGCTACACCAGCCAGGTCTAACAACTTAGAATTAAATGCACCTTCACTTAAGACATTCAGAATAAATAACAGTGTGTTTATGGCTTTACATTTGGGTTTCTAAGATGATTTAGCAGCAGATTCATGTAGATGTACATGATGCTTTGGTAGGTGGCTTTATACAGTTCTTCTGATTGGTCTTCTTCTCTATGACCATACTTTTGTCAGTCAGGAAACCCCTACCTAGGATCCTCTTCACTCCATGCATTTCTGTTCTAAACTTCATCACTTTCCCCAGAACAAGTTTTACCAGACTTCTTCCTTGCCACCAGTAAAACCTAGAAGGGGGAAAGAAGCAGGACTTGTATACCACCCTAGAAGGAGTGGCATTGGCTCCACTTGTCACATAGCAGATTATGCTTCACAGGGCTTGTGGAAGCTGTCTGTCAGCCTGGACCAGTTCTGGACCAGAGGAAGCTGACTTCCTCTCTCAGACACTTAAGCTGCATCTGCCTTGCCCCTAAGACCCTTTTCAGTCAGAGCTCATCTTAAACCCACCTTCCACTCACTCCTCCATGATTCTTAAGCCTATGTCTTTCTTCCTTCAGAGACCTTGGTTTTTGACTTTGAAGCAAGGCTTTAATTCTAAGTTCATACCCACAGGAATCCAGGTGAGCATTCAGGACATGAACAGTTTTCCCAATGCTGGGGATTTTGGTAACATTTCACAAACAAAAGGAAAAATAAACCTCTATGTCTGCAGCCTAATCATTTGGATTGAAATAGTTGTCTGATATATATTTTTCTGCCACTGAGAAAGATGAAACACAAACCAAAGCAAGCAACTGATTTTCTGCATTTCTGTGTGCATTTCCAAGAAAGGAGGCTTTACAAGATAGCTTGTTATGTTTGACATTATGAGGGAACAAAGTGTTTCCTTTGTGTCTATTACTTAGGTATCTTGCTGTAATTATGCTGTTTCTCAGTCACCCCCTACCTGTTCTCTGCTACCTAGCAGAGAACTTTGTAAACTCTAAAAAAGATTTAAACTTTTTTGCAACATGGTTTTCAGACCTGCTTTCACTTCTTTGTTCTTGAAGGTATAGACAAGGGGATTCAGTAGGGGAGTGAGCACACTGTACTGCATGGAGAAAACCAACTCCCATGGGGAACCTGAGGTGGGCATAAGATGGCGAAGGATGCCTGAACCATAAAGTATGGTCACTGCAGTGATGTGGGAGGAGCAGGTGGAGAAGGCCTTGCTTCTGCCTGAGGTGGAGCTGATGCTCAGGATGGTGGAGACAATGCGGGCATAAGAGTAGAAAACCAGGAGGAAGGTCCCAAAGGCATACAGGAAGACACAGCAGAGAAGGACAGCAAAGTTATTGGAGCTGTTGGAACAGGAGAGGGGGAACAGAGAAGGTATCTCACAAAGGAAGTTGGAGATGACTCGAGTCTGACAGAAGTCTAACTTCCAAGCTAGGATGGTATTGATGAGAGCATCCAGAAAGGCCAGGCCCCAGGATCCCACCACCAGCCCCACACACAGCTCATCACTCATCATCTGACCATAGTGTAGAGGGTGGCAGATGGCAGCATAGCGGTCATAGGCCATCACTGCAAGGAGGCAGATCTCTGTTCCCCCAGAGTCAAACACGAAGAAGGCCTTTGTCAAACAGTCCTCTATGGAGATGGTTTTCTTCTCAGACAGGAGGTTCTCTAACATCTTGGGCACTATGACTGAAGAGTAACAGACATCCAGGAAGGAGAGCTGACTCAAGAAGAAGTACATGGGGGTGTGAGGGTGAGAGCTGGCCCTGATCACCAGGATCAGCAATAGGTTCCCTGACAGAGTCAGGAGGTAAATTACCAGGAAAAGCATAAAGAGTAGGGCCTGGCTGGGATGATCAGTAGGCAGCCCAAGGAGGAGGAACCCAGTTATGGTGCTGTGGTTCCTCAAGAACACTGAAGGATGATAACCCTTTGGAAGAAAACAGAAAGAAGTAGCATTAACTGTCTCCTCTAGCAACCCAGAGTTTCCACCCATTCTGTGCATGCACACTTTTCGCCTTCAACCTCTCAGTATTGCCACAGTTGTTTAATAGCTCTCATGGTGTCCCCTGAAGTATGGCTTTCCCTTTGTCTATATCCTGGCCCACAAGTCTCAACTCACTGTGCTCTTTCCATTTGTTGCTCTTCTTTTACAAACAGCTCTATGGAAATTAAAATTTTTTTTTCAGATTTAACCCTTGAATAACTTTGTATCTCCTTAAACTGAGCCTTTGATTTTGTTCTGCAACATTGTGGTCAAGAGCTAACTTTCTGCAGAATACGTTCTAATGCTTCTTATTCTTCTTAGTTTCAGTCTTTCATTTTCAAGTCAAAACTCTGTAATAGTTTCTTACTACTAAACTACGAACTATGTGTGCTATTTTTGTCATTATTATCTTTCATACATTTGAAATGCTCATCTTAAAATCAACTTTGAAACTTTGTGTGTGTGTGTGCTGGAACGTTGATATAGGAAGAAAAATGCTAAACCTATTTTTTAAAATAAAAAATTAAATTAAAAGATAACACAGGCAAAACAAAACTGAATTGTCCATCAAAAGAAACCATTAAGAGAGAATAGGCAAGCTGGAGCTGGGAAAAATATCAAAAATAGTACACATCTATGTAACATATACCTATGATAAATAATAAATATGCCAATTATGCTAAATATTCCAATAATTAAAAAGTCAAATATCCAATACAAACAATGGGCCCAAGATGAGAAAAGACTCTCAGAAAGGAAAACATCTGAATGAGCAGGAGGCCTGTAAAAAGTTGCCCAACATAGTCATCAGGGAAATGCAGACTCAGATCATGATAAGGAGCCACTATACACTCACCAGAATGGCTGACATTGCCAAATGCTGGCAGAAAGTGTGGAGCACCTGGAACATTTCTTGTAGAATGTAAGGTAACATAATTACTTGGGAAAGTTGGGTGGTTTCTCACAAAGCTACACATAAACCTACTCTGTGACCCAGCAATTTTGCTCTTTGAATGAGTGAATATGTTGACAAAAAGACTTGTACAAAAATATTCTCAGCACCATTTTACCCTAACGGACATAAACTGGGTGGGAAAAAAACTCCACATGAGTATCAAGGACATTAGATTAAACAATGGATAAAAGAAGTGGTGGTTTATTTTCAGGAAAGAATTCTTTTTAGCAAGGAATAGATAAACTATTTATACATGCAACAATGTGGATATATACTAATAAAAATTTAATGCATGCACATTCATTTAAATGAAAAAATTGTACATGTAAACATTTTTGAAAATTAAAAATTTGAAAAATGTACGCATGACTGTAACTATTATCCTGATGAAGACACAGAGCATTTTCTTTCTTTTTACCTTTTTAAAGTTTTATCTATTTATTTTTGGAGACATGGGAAGGGAGGGAGAAAGAGAGGGAGAGATACATCGACCAGTTGCCTCTCGCCCGTAATCGGGCACCTGGCCCACAACCCAGGGATGTGCCCTGACTAGGAATCAAACTGGCGACCTTCAGGTTTACAGGCTGATGCTAATACACTCACCCACACCAGCAAGGGCACACAGCATTTTCCTCATGCCAGAAAGATCCCTGTGTGTTCCTTTTCAGTCATCTCCCCATCAGATCAAACCACTATTCTGATTTTTTTTCATACCTTTGTTTTTCTGGAAATCCATAAACATGGAATCATGCATTTCTTTGGTGCCATTTATGTTCTAGGTATTGTTGCTTATCACAACAAAAACAAGAGGGCTGCATTATCTTAATTTTTACAGTGAGGAAACTGAAGCAAACAATGTTGGCAGTACCGATGGGTTAATGAGTAGAGGTGCCTCACATCCATACATAACCACAATATCTGTGATTTTTTTTTATCACCTTGGATACCTGCCTTCCATTTCTTAAGCACATCAGCTTCTCTTCACTGTGTGTCCACTCCAACAATGCATGATCCCAGTTTCTGTGTGTGTGTGTGTGTGTGTGTGTGTGTGTGTTTGTGTGTGCCTTCCATTGAATATCCCTTTTGTTTTGGTCTTTAGTAATAGGTGTTTCTCTTTTCTTTTTCAGTGAAACAGCATGTTCCTTGAAGATAGAAATTATGCTCTACATTATTTTGAAGACTGAACACACATTGCAGTATGAGGCATGTGATGAGTCCTTAATCCAAATTTGCTAAATCTAGAAGGAATGGGCAGGATAAGTTGGGCCTCTTCTTGAGAAATTTCCCCAGCTTGAATTCCAGCTTCAAAATCAAACTAAGCAAGGAGACTGGAAGGAAAAATAAATGCAAATGATTGTGGAGCCCATCTTCGAGTTGTAAAGGATTACAAAAAGACTTACATGATAAACAACAGTGCCTACAGACCCTGATTCACAGGGAGCATATCACATATACTAGCTCATTTCTGTCTGTACAGGGAGGTTACTAAAAACCACAACATTCAATCCTCTATCTATTCATACTTTCATCCTTATGTCCTTTAATTATCCATCTGATTGTTCATTTATTTACTTCAGCAGTTCTTATCTATTCACCATCCATCTATTCACCTATACCTACCTCCTTTCTTCTTTCCTTTATTCCTCCCCTCAATCAATCATTCATTCATTCAATAATTAATAGATATTTTTAGATTGGACAGTGTAAGGTGTTGTGCTTAAACTAGATGGACAGCCTGGCATAGTCCTGTCATGAACTACTTTATGAATGTACATATTTGACTTATATTCCAAATAAAATGTTCCCAATATTCAAAGCTGAATTCCCTTTTTAGCCTTTCTTTATACCAAGGTTGAAATCTGACCCATTGTCATACACTCAAACTCCGCCCCTTCAAGAACCTGCCTGCCTGCAGTGGTAACTTCTTACAATAACCCCAACTTGCACACCAACACTCTGACTTATTTGGGAATCCTTTGGCTTTCACCTGGCATGAAGTGGTCTGGTGTTGGTGTTGTGCATAGGACTCAAGTTCTCTTTCTGCTGGGGCAGCCCATGAATTAGTCCTTGCTCTTCCTGGCTTTCCTCACTCATGCTATACAGCATTTAGGCATCTTCCCATATTTCAGGCCCTTCTCAGGTATCAGATCCAAGTTACCTCTCAGTTGTGAACAGTGGGTACTGTGTGGTCTAGGGTGGTGGTCCAAGTTAATTAAGACTCTGTGGTAAAGAAGACAATCAAATGGAAAAGTGGATATTTGTGTTTTTCTCATCTGTGTGTTTATAGAATCCTGTTGAAATAAACATTCTCTCTGTCTTCACCATTAGCATATTAAATCCATTCAATCCAATAGAAAAATTTCTAAGCATTTTCAATTTCCTGCCTATCTTTGAGCTGATAATGGCTTTGATTCTTCCACATATACATACAGTGTATATCCAGCCATGCCGCCCATCAGCAAGGTAGGTAGAAGCACATGTTGTAGGGTTCCAGACTTTCTTACCCTAGTCCCCAACACAGATCCTTTGGTCACAAAATAGGGACAGGCTTATTTTAATGGCATAGTGAAAGATAAACACAAATTCCAACTTCTGCTCAGTAGCCTTTCAAGAGAGAACAGTGGACCCTGTTGACACCATGTCTTCATGACTGTTTTTGAAATTCAGGAAAGGGGGAGAGGGACAGGCTTCTTTGTTGACAGAGAGAAGAGTGGTAGGTCCAAAACTGGAACCCAGCACTTTCCTGTTAATATGATGCTTACTTTGCCTGTTTTCCAGGGAGAGTTCTGCTTGAGCACTTCTCAGGTGGCCACTAATTATGTTGTCTACATTCTTTTTTCAGATTCTATCTTAAAGAGAAGTGGAACAGAATGTTGATTTTTGGAGACACTTTAAGAAGAATATTTAATTTATTTTAAGAAAAAAAATCAGATTATTTATGGCTGGAATTTCACTATTGTGAATTCACATTAAAAATAATTTGTGTCTCAGTTTAAAATTCAATCAGGTCTGGGGGACATAATATATTGTTTTATGTATAAATTAAAAAATCTTTTATGTCCAATGATCTTATCCTATTATTTTCAAAGATATAGGTAGCTGAGGACTGTTCTATGTGTAACATTTTACCTGCTCACTATATTGACACAGAAAGTGTTTAATTTGAAGACATGTCTGGAGGATGAATAATGAGGTAGGAGGAATGACAGGACTAATGCTGGAAGGCAGAAGTCCTTTGCCCCTGTTACCTTGGAGGGGAGGGCACTCCTGGAATGGGGAGAAATAGTCAGTGTGCATGAAAGTTACACTTCATATACCTTAGTACCTCCCCCGGAAACTCTTCTGTCCTTCCCTTTTTCTTCTTTCACCACCTACAATATTGGTCTCTAGAACTGATAGGGAGGTAAATAAGAACAAAAAATTGAACTGTCTTTAGCAGATGTGATTAGACTTTTGGAAGAGGTGGGGGATTCTAGGCCCCCAGGAGCTGCAGGTCTACTCTGATATGTTTTCCCATAGGTAGGAACCTGCTTGGTTCAGCTTCTCTTAAACCTGAAATTTCTGATTAATGCAATTTGTAGCAACAATGCAAGAACTCAACAAAACCAAGTTTTAACAATACTTTGGAAGCATAGAGAGACATGATTGAGTAGCTAGTAAGAGTAACTGATGACAAAACCCTTGGAGAAAAACCTCTTAAAGCACTGATACATCTGGTGCTCAGAGTCCAGAGCTGAGCTCCAGCAGAAGGGAAGAATGATGCAAAGGCCCCTGTGAGAAGGGTGTCATCAACACAGCCTTTAAGTCTCTGGGTATGGTGGCAGTGGCCTGGATGAAGACCGTTACAGAAATCATGAAGTACGTTACCCAGCTCCTGACATTTCAGGCACAGAAGACATCTTTTTGCTCTGGTCTTTCCATGCAGCAAGGACTCATCCATAGTCCAGTGCTCTTTTTGTACACAAGAACCAATACTTCTACAGCTCATGTATTGAACCAGCAGACAATTTTCATTTTCCTTAGTTGGAAGTTTCAATGATGGCAGGAAAACAGA